CTGTATTCATTAACCTAAAGAACACTGTTTTAAAATAACAATGAAATGCAGGAAATCATGCACGAATTGGTCAATTGGTTAAACCTTTGGATTTCCAATCAGACAACAGCGATTTGATTTTGACATGCATGTATACAATTTCAAGTTGCGCTTTGGAGCTGTTTTCCAGAATATTCCCAAGGGTAAGACTCAAAGCCGTGTAGGTCCTTTGTCTGCGTACATGTAAAAGATTAGCTTGTGTATAGAGATTGAAGTACGATAAGGCTCAACAGTTCCATTGCTACAGATATATCCTTCAGAAGTGACAACAAATGGATTGCACCAACATAATTAAAAATATAGGCGCATTGCATGATTGTGCAGATTGAAAAACCTAAAGAAACTAAATTTAACACCTTGTTTTAGGGTGCAACTAACACACTGCCTTTCCATGATGTACCTATGTACAGAGTTTGATGCCCATTTTTGAAACAACGGCTGAGATAGCTCCATAAACTAGAGTCAGCACGGAAACACACAAGCACGAACAAACAGCAAGGATATCCTCTATAATCATGACTTCGTTGAATTGGGGGTATAAAAAACAGTCAGTTTCAAGAAAATTGCTGTTCCCTTTGTAAATAATGTTTGTATTTTGTTTTACAGAATATGTATAAATATTGTGTAAGACATCACAAAAAGCCAGCCAAGACATACATCGAAAACCAATCAAAGTTAACGCCTCTTACTTTGGCCAGTAAACTTGGACGACAGAAGATCTTCAAGGAAATGTTGGAACTTGGAAGTTTGGTAAGGAACCTTGTCAGTCTGCATGTCAACATTTGGTTTCAGTGACCATTTCAATTAGAGCATATTAATGAATTTTCTTGTTGTTTTCAAAATAGTTTTTTTTTTTTTTTACACCATTGATCCACTTTTATATTTAGCTAGTCTTGCACGGTTCTTAAAACACCGCTGGCATCACCCCTCCTTATAACCCTGCCCCNTTAAAGCCCTTTAATGCTTATGTTAGCTAGAAAGGGCACTATATCAAATGTTGTATATTTATTAGCTCACCTGGCCCAAAGGGCCAAGTGAGCTTATGCCGTGGCGCGGCGTCCGGCGTCTGTCGTCCGGCGTCAATATTTTGCTTTAAACAACTTCTTCTCAATAACCAAAAGGCCTAGGGTGATGATATTTGGCCAGTAGCATGCTTGGGTGAAGGGCTACCAAGTTTGTTCAAATAAATTACCTTCACCCATATTCAAGGTCACAGGGGTCAATTGTCTTAAAAAAAACTTTAAACAACTTCCTCTGAATAACCAAAATGCCCAGGGTGATGATATTTTGCCAGTAGCATGCTGAGATGAAGGGCTACAAAGTTTGTTCAAATGAATGACCTTCACCCATATTCAAGGTCACAGGGGTCAAATATGTTAAAAACTTTAAACAATTTCTTCTCAATAACCCAAATACCTAGGGTGATGATATTTGGCCAGAAGCATGCTGGGGTTAAGGGCAACAAAGTTTGTTCAAATGAATGACCTTCACCCATATTCAAGGTCACAGGGGTCAATTGTTAAAAAATACCTTTAAACAACTTGTTCTGAATAACCAAAAGGCCCAGGATGTTGATATTTAGTCAGTAGCATACTAGGATGAAGGGCTACCAAGTTTGTTTAAATGCACGACCTTGAATCATATTCAAGGTCACAAGGAGCAAATATGTTCGAAATGTTTAAACAACTTGTTCTGAATAATCAAAAGGCCCAGGATGTTGATATTTAGTCAGTAGCAGTGAATGACTTTGACTTATATTCAAGGTCACAGGGGTCAAATTTGTTCAGACCTCTTCTGAATAACCATGGGTCCCGGAATGTTGATATTTTGGTTTAAACAATATTTATTAATTAAATTCATTTACAATACAATACAATCACATAAATTGAAAGGATCTGGCGACAAGATATAAAATCTTATATTAGGCCATCTCCTTTAGGTAACATTTAACAAACATTTATATTCTCTGACTGACCATAATTGTTTAACATATATAACACACATTTTAATCTAATTAGCAAGAAAGAAAGAAATGAGAAATAAAGAGTTAAATTATTAAGAGAGATAGAAGATAGAGATTTAGAAATTTGAGAGAGTGATGAGATTCCACTTCAACACCTAGAATCTGCCTGATGCCATAATGAACCTCTGAACTTGATTAAAAATTTCGATATTTTCTATTTGAGACAAATTTGGGTCACCTTGAAGCAATATATCAATGTTTATGTTTATATTTAGTTCAGATATTGTATTAAGTCTATGTTGTTTTTAGTTTGTACATTCTAATGAGAAATGAGATGCTGTCTCAATACTACCGCATTGACATAGGTTTGACTCAGCAACATGGCTTTTGCACAGATCATAATTTAAAGAGCTACAACCAAGATGAAGTCTTGTATGGAGTACCTGGGCCTTATGGTGGCCATTGAAATAATAGGACGGCTTTTTGATTTTATTTCGGTTTAAATATCTTACAAAAAAAGGTTTAGACGGTGAATTTCTTGTTTCATCAGGGATTGCGTTCCATTCTCGTATGGCTGTAGGTAGGAATGAAGATTGGTAGGTATTAGTTTTACTGGATGGGGGATGCATATTTGAGTTTGACCTTGGTCTATAACCTTGAGAGGCACCAATACTTGGGGGTAGCATGTTCTGTAGATATGCTGGGGCATGCTTATGATACATATTGTACAATGCTATCATTCTATGTTTATAACGTCTATATGATAAAGATTCCCATCCAGTTTCCCAAGTTATAAAATTAGTTGATGCAGATTTTTGTTGCTCCTGTAACAATCCGGCCTGCCTCCATCGGCAGTTTTTCAATATCTTGATTGTCCTGTTGATGGCATGTCAATTTCCCCATACTATATCAGCATATTCTAACAACGGACGTATGTATGAAAAGTACATGATTTCAAGTGACTTCCTATCTAGTTGAAATGTCAGTGCTCGCAAAATGTCTACTCTCTTTCACGCTTTAGTAAGTAAATTTGTGATATGCAGATGCCATTTACAATTTTCATGTATTGTTAGTCCAAGATGTGTGTGTTGTGTGTCTTGCTGTATTTGGACATTGTTCATTAGAAGAGGTGGATGGTCAATTGTCATTCGTTTCTTGGAAAGAACCATGCTTTCGGTTTTCTTAGGATTACAATTTACTAGCCACTGTTCAGCCCAGGTACTGATTTAAGATAGGTCTGAGTTTACGATCTCTGCCGACCTCACAGGGTCATCAATTATTAAAAATAATGAGGTGTCATCCGCAAATAGACGTATACTGGCATTAATTGCAGTAACTATATATCATTAATAAATAAAATAAAAAGTAGAGGTCCAAGTATCGAACCTTGTGGCACGCCAGCATGGATTAATTCTAGTTTTGATGTACTTCCTTCAATGATAACCTCTTGTGATCTTCCTGAAATGTAACTCTCAAACCACGATAATAAATTTCCTGATATTCCATTTCGTCTTTAATTTAAACAATAAACCCCTGTGCCACACTCATAATTCTTCAGCCTATCAATTAACTGATATAATAAAACAATTAAATGATTTATTAATATCAGTTTATTGATAGGCTGAAGAATCTTTGGGTTCAATCTTTTGGAGTGAACCCAGACTGATGTAAAGTAATAAAATTATTTTCATGGAGATAGTTATAGACGTGTTTAAATACGCACTTTTTAAACACTTTTGCTATACAACTTTACAGAGATAAAACAGAGATATTGGTCTATAATTTGAGACTAAGGATCTATCACTTTTCCNAGTGACAATTTAAGCTTCTTTTAGTAGCTTAGGGCTTACCTGATCAGGACCACTAGCTTTATTAACATTAATTAGTTTAAGAGCATCTTCTACATCAGTTGGGGATATATGTATGTTTTCTAAAATGTATGGTGGTATTTGATGTTGTGGAAGTGTTGTATTTGTATCATCAATATTTGTTTGTTCACAGAAGAAGTTGTTAAATATATCTGCCTTTTCACTAGCCAAGCAATGCCTTGTATTGTTATGTTGTTCTGAATTCTGCCCAATGTCAGTAGTTTGCTTAAAAAACTGTTTTGCGATTTTCCACCGGCTACGTGGACTCAAATTTCCCTCGTGTAGTTTGTTGCTGAGTTTGTTCATACAATCAATCTTTGCCTTACGAATTAGAGAAGTCACTTCATTTCTTTTTGTTCTGAATTCTGCCCAATGTGCTGCTGTGTTGTTGATTTTAGCTGATTTGTGTGTACAATTTCTGTTTCTAATTTGTTTTCGTATTTCATTGTGCATCCATGACTTATCATTTGATCGTATGGTTACAACTTTGTTGGGTATTGATAACCTAGCTGCATCTACAATATTTGTTGTTATTTTTGTTACCTGTTCATCAATACTTAAATTAGTCATATTCATGTTGCTGTCACCAATTGTCTGCCTATGCAGATTATAGTCTCCTTCTTCATACTTCCAAATTCTTCTTTTATATGTGTTACTAGGATATTTAAATTGCTTTAAGCTTACATAAACTGGGCGATGATCACTACAGATTGGGTCTAGAACACCAGCTATGGAATTTTGGATGTAGTTACTAATAATTATCAAATCAATTAAGGTACTTGAGTTCTCTGTAATGCAAGTTGGTTCTTTTATTAGTTGAGTTAGATTGAAGTTATTAAGTAAATTCTTAACATTTCTAGATTTATCTGGAATCAATATATCTTCATTAAAATCTCCTAAAATAACAAGATTTTTATTAATATTTAGTGCTTGTTCAATTGACAATTGAAGTAGATCCCAGTCTTTAAAACGTGGATGAATATAGTATGTACCTATTAGTAAAGACCTGAATCCATGTTTAATTTCTATCCACAGAATTTCAAGATTATTAACCTTTAAGTCATTTCTAACTGTATATGGTATATGATTTTTTACATAAATTAGGACTCCGCCACCATGACGATTTCTATCCACTCTACTTTGCAGTTGAAAACCATCAATATATAATGTACCGTTGTCTATTGTATCATCTAACAAAGTTTCGTTGATTGAGATTATGTCAAAACCATCCATTTCTATGGATATATGATCTTATTTATTAACAATACTTCGTACATTGAGGTGACATATTTTAGTTCTCCGACAGAGCTTGGCACAGGGTTATTTGTGATTGGTCTGGGATTGGTGTTTTGGAAGTTGCATCCTGAGATGAAAGGCTATAAAATTTGTTCAACATAATGACCTTGTTCGACTAAATAACAGGGGTGAAATGTTTTTAAAAAAATTAACAGGTTCTTTTGAATGAATTTTATTCATAAATACTGATATTTTGCCTGTAGCTTTATTTTAGATCACTTTAAGGTTACAAGTGTGAGATGTATACCAGGTGAGCGATGCAGGCCCATGGGGCCTCTTGTTTATTTTTATTTTAGCTCTCTTAGCTTGATCTCATATCAGATCTTTGAATTATGTTAAAGAAAGTTGACCATCATGTTTGCTGACACAATTGCCTTGCCCTTGTCATTGATTGGAAGCTGTGGGTCAGATATTAGAATGATGATTCATTTGGAGATCTGCCGTAATGTTAGGTTTCCTGGTCAGTCATTGGCAAACAAGTGAATTTATACTAAATAATGATGTGATTTAAAACCTCAAATTTCCTAATTTCATTAAATTAACATGCTGATATTCGTTCTGTATGATGACATATTAAATACTTATCGTTCTGTCCAAGTCTACAAACTCATTCACGGAAAACAACAAAATTACCTTTAATAGCAGTTATCTAATTCAGACGTGTTTAATTCTCATTTCAAAATTTCTATTGAAGTTAGTTAAAGAGATAATCTAATGTGATTTCTATAATTGATTCACAATTATTTTCATCCTATTTGTTAAGGATCCCTGTCCCACTGCAGGAAAAATGCTAGAGAGTTCCACTAGATTTTTGTACAGACAGGAAGTAACTCTCTTAATTTCATTTTCGATATAACTAAAGCGCGGCTGGACTAGCTAGGGTCCTACCGCTGACAAGATTGCTCAAATGGTTAGAGCAACATTATAATGTTCGGAGGTGGAGAGTTTGAATCCTGGTCTAGCAGCTATACATTTCCAGTGCAAGTTCGTCTATAAGCATTACCATAAGAAATTGTGTTCATAGGGCTTCATGAACACAATTTGATCAGTGTCATTCTGAAGCTTCTCCTCCCGCCTCAATTAGCATGAGACAACCACTAGAAACAAACATTTTGGTGACTTTATGCTGTTCCAGGAAGCTCTTTTACACTTATGACAGAGAAACTTCAATATCGAAAATATAAGGGAATAGCTGTGCTAAGGTCAATAATAATGGAAAGTATAAAGTCTAGCAGCTTATATTGCATTTCGCACTCAGAACACCATTGTTATTTATTAGCTCACCTGGTCCGAAGGACCAAGGTGAGCCTATGCGATACTGTGGCGTCCGTCGTCTGTACGTCAACAATTTCTTTGAACGACTTCTTCTTCTTAACCACTGATTGGAATTTGACTACGTTTGATTGGAAGCATCCCTAGGTGGTGGGGATTCAAAATTGTACAAATGGTTGGGCTGACCCCCCAGGGGGCTGAGGGGTGGGGCAAAAAAGGGGGAATTTGGCTATATTGCTTTAAGCGACTTCTTCTCTGGAACTAAGAGATGGATATCAACCATATTTCACTGGAAGCATCCCTGGGTGGTGGGGATTCAAAATTGTACAAATGGTAGGGATGACCCCCTAGGAGGCTGAGGGGCGGGGCCAAAAGGGGGCAATTTGGCTATATTGCTTTAAGCGACTTCTTCTCTGGAATTAAGAGATGGATATCAACCATATTTCACTGGAAGCATCCCTGGGTGGTGGGGATTCAAAATTGTACAAATGGTAGGGATGACCCCCTAGGAGGCTGAGGGGCGGGGCCAAAAGGGGGCAATTTGGCTATATTGCTATAAACAACTTTGCCATGGATATCGACCATAAACAAAAGTTTATGACTTGGAAATTGTTGAGATCCCCACCGTATAACCATATACACACAATTGCTGAGTATAAAGAGAAAAATGCACAGTTGCTTCCAGGATGGCCCTAGGGTCTGGCCCCACCCTTGGAGACATAGTCCCTTGGTCATAACTTTGAAACGGTTGAGATGCCCACCCCAAAACTATAAATACAAATGCTGGGCAAAAAGAGACGAATGCAGTCATGATATTAGAATTGATCCTGGGTTCTGGCCACAACCTATGGACCTAGTTTCTGAGTCACAGCTTGGAAACAGTTGAGATCCCCACCCCATAACCATACATAAAATTGCTGGGCCTGACAAATTTGATACAGATATGCTACAAGGATTGGCCTTGGAGTCTGGCATATTCCCTTGGATCTCATTTGGAGAATATTTTGCCATGATTACTTAGATATCCAGGTAAGCGATACAGGCCCTCTGGGCCTCTTGTTTGAGTTTATTTCATCTTTATTGTTTTCTCATAAAACTTCCACAAGGTATGGTTTTCTTTTTAGTAAAGCATGGGTAAAAAGTTTCCAATGCATTATATGACAGTTTTTGGCATTGATACTAAAAACTATATGTTGACATAATAATACCAACATTCTGATAAAATGAACTATTCCAACCTTTGAATTGGAAGAGTTCAAATGTGTGTCTTCCGGGGGAAATGAGTTAATAATCTATATTGTGCTGTTCATGTGTTGCTTTTTATGCATTGCAACAAAAACTACATCCAAATACTGTTTTGAATTAATTGCTTTAATACCAAAAATCATCAAGAACCCCGTCTGTAAAATATGGTTTCAAACAAATTTACAAAATTAGTTTCCTGTGAGTAATAATTCCTTGATACAAAGTTCAGTATAATATAATCTGACCATGCATTTAATCAAAATGTAAACAGGAACCTCTATTTATTTGTCTTGTGAGAAGTTACCAGGAACATAATTATGTAAAGTGCCAATGGCACAGGGACTCAAATTTATTGTAAAAAATTACACAGGTACAAATAAATGGAAAAAACAAAGGGCTTGAGCCTGCAGGTGAATGGCTTGTTTAAATTTCCAAGCACTTTTCAGAGGCAGATCAGCATCTGAACCTAATTTAAGTAGCAATGATCATTTCCTCCCTTTCATATTGTTCCAGTTCTCATGGGAACAAACAAGTTAGTTCTGCATCTTAATTTTTGTTTTTTTAGGAGGAAAGTGCAAATCAACATAACATAATTATGCATACTCTACCTATTTTCAATCCCTTGGGAGAAGCCCTCAGCTCATCATCAATGGACTATCCGACAATAAAAAAGTCTAATTAATAAATATCCTGATTCTACCCGGATGCTGATATTTATTGTATTTGTACATACCGATATCATCAGTATGACATATTTGTTTCCCCTAGTTACCGCATTTTTAATCAGGCCTAATTTGCAAACAAGACTTGAAGGTAGATCAACATATTTACAAGTCAGCAAAGTTATTCAGGGAATTTGTCTGCCAATCCAAACTCACCCACCTTTGTCCCCATTGATTGATGTGGATCGAGTTGTCTGATTTATTGGCAAAATTCACCAGATGTATAGTAGTGGATGGATTAAAACGTTGTCTGTACCGTATTCACCATAATAGACACCCTCTTCTAAGAAGCATCGATCCCTATATGATCCAGTCAAGCCTACCAATCCCATTATGGACCCTTCCTTATAGCAATCTTGTCAATGGAGTCATAATATAACTATTGTCTCCCACCATGGCAAATGAACCATGTTTCTCACACAACCACTACACGTTTCCTCACTCCAAACTCATTGGATAAACCAGCTAGGAGTTGGTAAACATTTTTGGTTACCCACTAGTGAGTATAACACCCTGGACGGTGCTCAATCATCTAATCATGACATCAATGGTTTGCAATGTCATCTTGCATTGTGACGACATAATTTATGGCAGTTGTTTCCTCAATTAGAAACAGGAATAATGTATTCCGAAGAGAAATAAGGTTTTCTAAATATTTATGTCTGAATGTTGTGGAAGAAAAGGTCCCCAAACTTGTGATGGTTGATTATCATGTTTATCTAACTCTCAACAGTTAATTTTCAAATTGTAAAACTTAGACACTCAGTAAACCTCGTTTCTTTATAAAATTTAAAAATCAAGTAATGAGAGTAAGATAAACTTGGAGACCAACCATTCCTTGTTTGGAAACCTCTGCATAACCACTAGTCATCCCATTATGAGCTCTTCTATACTTTAAGCACAACACCATAATCAAAACCATCCAGCTGCTCCATCATGAACCAATGTCTACAGCCATCCTAACATCAGGATCAGCATTATAGCAAAATTGGTTACAAGCAGATGAAATCTCAGGTCGCCTTCATGACCAGTAAACTTAAAACATGATCCTAAACTAGAGGTCTATAAACACAAAGTGGTTACTTACAATTTACTCTTATCATATCATTTGCATAAAACAAAGGAATGAACTTCATATTATTCCACCTGTTAAACCATCATTTGATGCAGTGACAAAAGGGTTAGCTATATCCAGACCTTGTCCATTTTCATGTGTGTCACAGAAATCACTACCGGTATGACTCAAGGATTGTATACGAGTATATATATTTTACTTGTAATAATTGACGTTTACGTTTTCTTGTTGACAGGAATTCTGGAGATATAGCAACATCACCTGTTCAGCCTATCCTCTACTGGCACTCGACTCTATTGGTCCAAAAGGGGAAACCAGTATGTATATACTTAAATTGTTTTGATTACATTGAAACAAAAAAAAGTAAACAAATTAAGGTCATTTTGTTTTTAATTGACATGAAAAAAAGTTTTTAATTGACATGGAATTTTTTTTTAGTTTGTTATGATTATTGAAATAAACGACATGAACTACTTAACATTAAAGAAAACAAAAAGTGCTCATGAAAATGGGCGGCTTTTAAAGATATTAGTAAATGTAATTATTTTGATGTTATATTTAAGTTGGATCAAAGATAAATAATTAAATTCAAGCAACCTGATAAAGGTAAGCCATTTACACTTCCATTAATACAACTGTCTGCATGTTATAAATTAGGGCAACCAGGATTATAATTAGCTGGTGCTTTAATGGTTCTTGGAAGAATTAAAGAGGTTCAAAATTTCTTTTTATTTTAGACTGGAATTCGGCTCTGATGATAATAATAAACGGTGAAAGAGATGAACACCTTGACATGTTAGAGGGTGGAGTAATGCGACAACTCCTGGACGAGAAGTGGGAGAGATTTGCCAGGGTAGGTTTAACAAAAGGGGCAGGCATTGATCAAAGGGAGGCAACTCTGTGTGTCTTCTGTATTATATCATGCTTTGGATGGCTTTAATAACTAGCTTTATGTCTTTATTATAGAATTTTAGAGTTGTAACAATATTCCAAAATTTGTAATATACATATTTTTAAATTTCATCAGCGAAAGGTTTAGTGCATGTGTTTTGACATCTTTCAACTAGCATGTCTTATTATCAAGACAATAAAAACATTAATATATTGTATATATATTGTGAATATTTATTATCAATTAATGTTGTCACTTGTCTCAGTGTTTCTGTATTGATTATTTTTAATAATCATCAATAAATCAATATAAAGGTAGTATAACGAAGTTATAGCATGTGATAATGCAAAACCATTTGTATAATGTTTCTAGCCCATGAATGATATGATACCAATAATAGGACTAGCTAGTACTGATCTATCTACATTAACGCAGTGAAATTATAGGTTCAATCAGTATACTATTGAAGTTGTGAATTATATATGTAGACATTTTCAAAGGACAGTTTATTTGAACTACTAACAAGTCTGTAAATATTTAAATGTTATTGATTTTCAAAATGTTGGGAGTTGAGCTCATTCTGGGACAATGTGTTTTTACGCCCAATGATGACAGCTAGGCCAATTTATGTCAATCGCCTTATTTATCATACATGTATTCACAACAACTGATCCTCCTGTAGCGCCGAAGGGACCAGGAAGTAATTAGGCCAACTGTAGAATTTATTTATCTGATTTTATCCTGTAATATGACTTTAATTACAACTTTTTGTCATGGTAAATTAGATAATGCATTCCAAAAAAACCTTGAAAAACGTATGCTCAATGGTCGCACCCCAGGACTGGTTTTGGATTGTTCCTGTCAGTATTAATTGTGCTAACCCCTATCTGGATATTATAAGTTTCCCTAAAAGTGTGTGCACTATATATGCAAATATTTACAAGACTGGAATCCTGAAATATTAGTTAATTTAAGCTATTTTGGAACTAAACCTCTATATGTAATAAACATCATGGCATGGGAATGACAAGGTCGATTAACTTTACTGACAAAAGTGTTCTGACAGTATTGAAGACATTTTTATTGCACAGGCATGACATATTCCCTGCTTTCAATATCAGTTCATTACCAGTACGGTCTTGCAGGCGTATTGTGCACCAGCCTCTAGTGAGGTATAAACAGTGTACCTCAAACACAGTGAATATATATATATATATACCTGGTATACTTAGATACCTCCAGGAATTTTAAAAAGTCTACCATGAAATGTATATATTGATATTATTGATTCTACAAGACTATGAATAAATAGCATGTGTCTCAACCCACTCATCCTTCCCTTCAGGCAGGCTTCATTGATTATAGTAAACGCTTGAGAAAATCGTGGGAAGAGGAAACAAACACCGTTTTCTTCTTTGTTCAATATTGTGTTCAAATTCTTATGATTATCAAATTAGAAATACCGGTACATATTGTGGTATTTTAAAACATCATGCTCTTTTCCTCATATTGTATTAATGTTAAAATTCTAGATATTTATCTCTGTTTTTTTGCTTCATTAAGGAACTGTATAAATTCTGAAACCAGGTCACCAAAATGTATAATCAACATCCTGTAAGCATTGAGACGTGTTTAGTTAGTATCTATGGTGTTAGTAATGTTATGTCATATCTCTTTGCCAGTTAAAAAAAAGCATACTTGCCAACTCTCCCTATTTTGGACCCCCAAATTGAGCATTTTTAACCAGTGAATTTGCTAAACTTACTGCTATTTTCTAAGATCTGATGATTTCATCAGAAAGAACAGCTCAAAAGATGTCATTTCAAAAGTGTTATTTTTCACATGGGGCTATATTGTATACATTTTATTTATGCTTTTAATTCTGAGCACATGCAACTCCCCCATGGAAATTTCAAAAGTTAACAAGTATGAAAAAACATATATTTTTGTCATTAAAAATTGTCTCTCTGTACTGTTTTGAATTTCCAAAATATGACAAGACACTTTCTCATTTTTGTCATTTCAAAAGCTTTTACTTCAGATCTTGAGTCAGATCTGAAATGTTCTGAGTGTAGAAATTTTAAAGGGCTAGACCGGATCCGAACCCTCGCCTAAGGATTGTTATACTATCATTTTAACTGACTGAGCTACTTGAAGTGTCCTGCCACAACTGTGCTACAGTTATATCAAAAATGAAACCAAAGGGAGGTAACTGTCTATACAAAAAACATAGTGAGACAAAACTGTATACAAATTCATAGCTATTATTTTTCAGATTAATTTGTGAGGTGACCCCATTGCAAATTCAGGATTAATGTCCATATTCATTTAGATACAATTAGGCAACAAAAATGTATTGCTTACATTTCCTGCTGTAAATTTTAATCCTTTCAAATTTTGTTTGACGAGCAATTGCAAGAATAAGTATTCACACAAATTAACTGATTTACATTGTAATAGTTGTTTCTTTTTTTTGTTGCAGAAACGTTTCTTCCAGCGACTGGTGTTAGCGTTCGTACATCTAATACTGATCAGTGGGGCAGTTTACACTCGACCATCAAAGGACTTCCTCGTCTACAACGAGCCTAAGGACGCTGTGAGTCGATATACCTCACATGAGTGTTCCAGTACCACACTTTGTAACTTTTTATTAGACTGTACACATTTTATTATTCAACTGTAATCTGTTTTTCCGTCTTTACATATTGCAGAGTTATCTTTTCTTGTGAGCAGGTATTGATTGTTACGTCATTGGGTTGTAAGAGTAACGTCATCAATTTTTGAGAAAACGACGTAATTTTCTCACACAAATCAATGATGTAACAATCAATACCTGCTCACAAGAGAAGATAACTCTGCAATACGCAAAGACAGAATAAAGACAACGTGATTGAAGTTCTCAGGCTTTGCAAATATAATATGTATAATCTGTGTTAAACTTATATGCTCAATAATATGTCCTTGACCCCCTCATTAAACTGATTTTATAAATGAGAGTCAATTCTGGTAGCTCCTTTTCTCCTTCTCTGTAAGTGTCATATATCCTGATTTAAATCCTGCTACCCATTCCACCCCTTTCAACCCCTTTCTTAACAAAAAGAATCACTGTTTTGTAAAAGCATTTATGGTTTTATATTTATACACTTCCTTTGTACAGTCCTTAGATAAGCATACCAACCAAAAATGTTATAATTATTTCAATAACAGCAACATGTGAATGTTTTCTAATCAGAACTATTCACATCCTCCGAGATGTTCTTACACGCATCATGGAACTTGTTTGAAGGGAGCTGTGTTGCATACCATCATAAATGTTATAATGAGTCATCTCGGACCATACATATTTACTGGAAGTTTCATTGATAATTACAGCACATTTTTCATTGATTTGATAACAGTTAATCAGAAATTCAACAAATCATTTTTGCATTTATTTTGCATTTTTTTTATAATTACTATTTTTGAAATATATCTGATCGTGACTTGCTGTAAGGTGTTGACAGTTGATGTGTATTTTGGTATGTTGTACAGATCCGATTTACGTGTGAAATATTGGTCTTACTTGGCTGTATCCTCATACTGGCGATGGAAGTTGTGGAAATCGGCTCACAGGGAATTCTAGGTTTCTTAAAAAACTGTGTAAGTACATGATAATGTGAGGTGATCATAATTTTATAGTAATAATTTACATACTTTACTTTAAAGATGTTTATCAATTATCAAAAACATGTTGATACTTTTAACGGAACATGTAATTGTTTCAGCATAAGACACATACATAATTCATCAGATCGACAGGACAGGGCGATCAGCCTGTCGATGTTTAATTACATCCTCACCCTCCAGAAATTACTGCAATAGTCAATACAACAGGCAATATGTAATAATCATTATATATGATAAATGTTTAAGGTCTAAATAATATGAATAAACCATAATATGTCAATAATACATAATAATCAACCTACCACACATACAAAATTTAATAACACTTTTAGACAATTATTCATATATATAAGTCAAAGGTCAAAGGTCAAGGTCATAACTTACTTGCTCTCGCTTAATTGTTTGTTTGGTCAAAGTTAAAAACAACTTAATTGTTTGTTTGGTCAAAGTAAAAAACAACTTAATTGTTTGTTTGGTCAACTTAATTGTTTGGTCATAGTAAAAAACAACTTAATTGTTTGTTTGGTCATAGTAAAAAACAACTCGCCGATCTACATGTACATGTAGATTAGTGATAATGCTTAAGTAGATGTTTGTTTTTTCAAGGTCAATACAGTCAAAGGTCAAGGTCATAGCTGAATTTAGTCTCAGCTTTGGTATATTGCAGAGAGGTGAACTTTGATTGTGTTAATTAATTGACATGTGTTCTATATAGAAGCGCGGTTGGAGGCCACCTTGAACTGTTAATTGTTATTCCTGTTTTGTAGAAACCCTATGGGGTAAATATTTTGCAGCTTGGCCTGTACATGTGTTGCTAGAATATTTCTTGTTGCATTTTATAGACAACTGACTTAATGCTAGTTTAACATTTGTTCGAAATATAAGGAAACAACTTATACATGTGAGCTGATTTTTCTCATTTTTGCTTCTTTCTTTAGAAAGAGGTGTTTTGATTGGATAATTGAAAAGTCTGCTGCAAATATATTTTTGTGTATTGCTGATACATACAATAGAGACTTTATAATCCAACTAACTGAGCGACCTTCTGCCTTAAAAAAAACTGGCTGGATAGTCTAAGAAGATAATTAGTAGTTTCATTAATCTAAAGTTCAACTTTGCTTTCTTTTAATAAGATGTATAACATTATGGAGGATAACTTTATGACCCCTAGTTCAATATAAATTATCCCCCAAAATCCAGAGGTTATGCTAACTTGCGTTCTCTGCTCCCCTAGACATGACAAAAATTGAAGCCTGTATGTAGGCTAGTTCGATCCTAATTAAGTTGATGTACATCAAAGAATCGCAAGACAGTACATTAAGCTGTGAAGTCGGATGTCCGTCCCCTGTAATTTTCAAAAATAAATATTGGCCAAACAACTTTTAGGTCAGGATTTTGCACCTGAAACCAAGCAAATGACTAACTTCATGCTTTAAATTTTGTCATAACATATTCCAGGTGTGAGGAAAATGTCAGGATGCTTTACACTATACATTTGAAGAATATGAATGATGTTGTTTCACTTGCAGCAACACGCCCCTGCCCAAACGTTGTTTATGATATCTTGTATCCTGATGCTACTGTGTATTCCGGTTCGATTCACGAAGCAGGAGATGGCCGAGGATATCCTCCTCATCATTGCGGTGCCAGGATCTTGGTTCTTCCTCCTCTTCTTTGCCAGGTCAGCATCTTGTTAAATTCATTTCCCTAGTCATGTTAAGTTTATTTTCTGTTTGGTTATTTGTGTTTATATTTGTCATGGTAATTGGAAGAAAAAACTTTTTTTTTTTAATTCTTCATTCCAGCTAACTTTGCCTACTGTCACAGTCAGTGGTAAATTCCATTTTCAGTTACTTTTTCATATAACCCACGGCTGGCAAGAGTTCTTGTCTGAAAAGATATTGAACATACCTAGGGATTGAAGATAGACGCCATCACTTTTTATACATTATTCTTCCAAAACTTATTTTACTGAAATCTTTTGTGAAATCTCTCCCATGAAATTTTCTTTTTGATATGTGTGATGAAAAGTGTTAGAATCACAAGGATTGGAAATCTAAACTATTCTTAGATCATTATGTAGTGTTGGTCAATAATGTGGAAACAAGACTGACAAAATTTTGTTTTTGAAGGTACTTAAAGTCTTCAGAATGATCTGTTATAAATATATTGATGTAAATATGAGCTTTGATTTGCTGTGCTTTCAGGGGCTTTTTAATAACAGGACCAATGATTGTGATGACGTATAAGATGCTCGGCACAGATTTCGTCAAATTTGGTTCTATTTATACAATATTTATAGTCCAATTCTCCATAGGTATGAAGACAAGTGACAATGTCACTAAAATCTCTGTTTATAACAGCTTGCTGCTACCCATTTTGCAGTACTAAATGTCCCATGTCAAAACCTATAACCCGAACGTCACTAACATGTGATTCTACTGCTCCACAAATCAGTACCAAAGAGTAGGACCTCCAAATGTGTTTAAGAAAAATTTGATTGAGGAAAATAATTTGTGGTTAATAACGTAGATTTGTATAAATAAGGATATCATAACAGTCTTCTAGCTAGAGAAGGAGATATCATGGATCCATTCATTACATGTATGTAATTATCTTGAATTTAATTCAAATAAAGGTCTATATTTTTTAATTCAGTGAAAATGAAATTTCTGCGAAATGAATAAGTGCTATATATATACGATACGTATCCCATAATGTAACTGAAAAGAAGTTGTTTTTCAGCATTTTACTTTAATTCTACAGTATCTATGTTTACCAGATTAAGGTTAAGGTCCCATTCTGATTTGTACATAAAGGAGGTGCAGAATCACATACCATTCAGGTCCCATTCTGATTTGTACATAAAGGAGGTGCAGAATCACATACCATCCCAGACTGTGTTAAGTCTTGTTATTGACACCTCCGAAAAGTGTTTTGTTTTCACAGATTGGTGATTGGCTAATATCCAGTAACATTCTCCATTGTTTATTTAACGTTGTACCTATGACACATGTTTATATATGTATACCATATTTGACCGGATAAGTGTGCCAGAATCTTTTTGAATAACACATGTATTCTCCATATTTTGACTATTTTCCCACATCAGAGGCATGAGGGTCACTTTAACATCTACGAAGTTGAATTCCCAATCATTAACACGTACAGCAAATTGAGTCATCTGACAGACTGCACTCGTACCTGTATTAGCAGATTAATGTTCCAGAATGGCTTTGATTTCATTCAGTATTACTTAATGTATGAACTTAAACAGCGCCATTTTAGTTGCAGAAGTTTTCTTATATAAACTCATTCAAATGGACAACTTCCTGAAATAACAAAATCCAAGACTATAAAATCTTCTGAAATTTTACAATAAGCATTTAAATTATGTTTTCAACATCTTAAGGCACCTTCATTTGAGCAGGTATCTTCTTTAGGTCAAATATGGTACATAAGCTGTTGTGATGTTATACACTCTAATTTGTATGGCCTTTATACAATTGAAGTCATTTCGGGAGACTTGAAAGTTAGCAATCATTATTTTAATGACTTGTTGATTTTCATGTTATAATATTTTAATATTGGTGAAAATGGTCCAGTATATTCTGGGTTACATTTACATGTACATGTATATATTAAATTAATTATTATGATTGTTTCCTGAACTTCAAATAACCTAACTGCTTTAAAATATTGTGTGACTACTTACACTGTACATATATAGGATTTGGGTAAACTATTTTACAAAAAGAAGAAGACGAAAAAGAAATACCGAAAATAAAGTCTCCATTTTTCTTGCAGCTTATACTAGTAACTTGCATGTTAAATCCATAATGATTGAACTCATAACGATTCTTGGATGCTTTTATTGTTTGAAACATGACAAGGCACCCTGGGTATCGTAGGAGTTATTTCCCTTTGGTCTTGTTGGTCAACTATCATAGGGGGACATTATTATATATAAGTACAGCTTTGTAAAAACCAGCTTTAATCATCTTTCGCACCAGGTTTTTCAAACAAATTTCTTGAAATGAATTACTGAATTCACTCAAAATTACAAAAGCTGAATATTGCTATTCAAGTTTTAGTTATTATCAATTTCAAATAACTTGAAATATTTCCGATTTCTTTCATCCGTAAATGATTGGTGTTGATGGACTCTGCTTTGAAGAACTGTAATAAGTACTAATCATGCCCCCTCTGTGTTTGCGTAACATTTGACAGCTATGTTGGTTAACCATTCTACAATGAACTAACCACACCTTCCTTGTTCCCCCGTGTTGTTTACAGAAGTGTCAAACTAACCGGTCCCTTCGTCACCATGATCTACAAAATGTGTGTAGGCGACCTCGTACGATTCGGGGCCATCTATACAATATTTCTCTTAGCCTTTTGCCAAGGTAAGTTTTGTAAACATGCATATGTATATATACAAATGTATATATAAAAAAATTGACAAAAGTTTTTTAGTACCTCCCTAGTACTTTCACCTCTTTTGAGGTTTATCAGGAGAAATGTTTCCGTATATATAAAGGTATAAATAAGAAGGTATATTAATGCATATAGCAAGACATAATTCACTCAAATCTTATTTATTAAACCTGAAATCTTGTTGAATTTCCTCTTTTTGCTTCTAGAATACTTTTGAAATGAGGATTTTATATTTGAAAGTATGGAAATTAATTAACTCTTTGAAAGACAATATATCACATTTTACATTGTAATTTAAGAATTCCTGTTCCATTATAAAAATCTGAAATGACATTGAAAATATTTTTTTCTTGCATGACAATAATTTTATGAATCATTTCTTGAATAGAAACTGACATATACCTTGCAGATGATAAAGATGAAATAAAAACAGTATTCTGATAGAATTCTAAAACTGCATATAGGGTCAGACAGGGATTTGATTCTAAAACTGTATTAGGGTCAGACAGAAATTTAATGGCCCCTGGACCTCTGACCAAAATATAGTCGCTCTTGCCAAATGGTGAGGCATACCTGGTCAGCAGTAGTTGTATGGCTCCATCCCAATAAAGTTATACCTAAAACGAAATTTAGGGGAGGTAACTATGCAAGAATGTATGAAAAACTACAGTTGAACTCTGAATGTTTTGCCTTCACTGGCTCCCCAAGTGTTACAGGACATAATGTAGGCACTAACCTGACAGAATAAGGATCCCAGTCCAATCTGGGAACAGGTACACATTTTTGTGTTTGATATTTTTGTAACTTGACAATGAAAGTACATGGTATGTACTGTAGATGTGCATGAAGAAAGGAATTTATGATTCCACTCTTTTACCTAGAGTAATGACCTTTGGTTTCTTCTCCAGAAACCTTGTTAGCACAACTCCTCCTTAGCAGCGTGTTGGAATTGTTTTGTAACTTGGCACAGTGAAAGTACATATGTAAACGTTCAGGAAGAAAGGAATTTATGATTTGATGCTTTTTCCCGGATTTATGGTCCTAGATTTTTTTCCTTTTTGATCAGATCTTTTCCATCATCATTATAAATGCTCCTTCATTATCAATGTACCATGAAATGCTGTATAACTGTTGATAAAACCTACGACTACATGTACACAATGTATATACAGCCTGTTACAGTGTTACGTTGGTGACTGACTAATCCGTATTCCTAATGAATATATTTCATGCAGCTTGCATGCTCACACTTAAATCTGTCAGATAAAGTGTATATATAACAATTACTGGCAAGTTTATGTCACAGAACACATGTTCTAAAGAAAACATTTAAGTTCTTAAAGCAAAGACTAGACACCTGAAACTTTTAAAACTTCCTTGATTGTAATCTTAAAAGTTAAATATAATTCATGTTACTTGAATTAGTAAGTAGCTATCATTTGAATGCAGACAACTGGAAGAGATTTTAATTCTTCTGGAAAACTCTGGTTCAAATGACAAGAAAAGCAGTTTACACGGAGTATAATTACACTAAGGGCAGACATCTTAAATCGTTTGTGTTTAAAGTACAGGTAAAGGGTACTGGGTACAAAAAAACATGTGGACTTTTTAACAGATGGTATTTCTGTTTTAAATTAAGTGTTTTATTCTCATTTTAATGTAAACTATATCATAAATTTTTTTAAACTTATAACCTCAATTTTATAAATCAAATATCAGTTTGTTCAAAGTTCATTTATCAAATGTTTAAACATCAAAAACCTAATTTTTGGCAGAAAAGGGGCTTTGATTCCATATCTTTTTCAAATTAATTTTGTTTCTATTTTGTAGCTTTCTACTTCCTATTCCAAGGAGCTACTGACAGTCAGGGTTTCACCAATCTTGGGGACACTATCATGACCCTGTTCCAGATGACTTTGGGCGAGTTCAAGGTATACAGCAAAAATAAAAATAAATAGTTGAATATCAAAAATAATCTTTAATTATTTTAATTGCTTATACGCATGATTAGTCCCCATTTAATTAATATACAACGGCATGTTAATTCAAGCAGCACATAAAAGTTGTTTTGATTTGTTTAATTCAGTTCTTAATTAATATAATTTTTGCCACTTTTCAGTTCAACAAGTTATATACAATATGTTATACAGGTTTGGTACAGGTAATCGGGGTCATGTTTTTGTTTTTTTTGTATTTTCAGGAATATGAAATTCATGTTCTTTAAGCCTATTTTACCTGCATATAAAAGATAATGAATTTGTCCTATAGCAAAACTTATTCTATTAAAGTGAACTTAAATTACCCGATTTCAATTTGATGATGTGTTTCGAGACAACCCAGGAAATTTAAGCCGCATCATTTGTTGATAGCAATCAAAACTCAATAGAGTACCTGTATTGTTATTTATGCACATGGTTTTAAATTCATGTTACATTTTTGTGATTACTTGCTAGGATTGAAATATAGAAAATTTACCAATTTAATTTTGTATGTTTTCAAAATACTGTACATAATATGGCTAACGTATATATACTTGAAAAACAGATAACAGACAAACAGTGTACAACAAACACAGAGAATGTTAGTCCATCACTGCAACAGACAAACAGTGTACAACAAACACAGAGAATGTTAGTCCATCACTGCTGAATTTATTTACAGATTGCATAAATTTATTTCTATTCATTTGAACAAAATTATATGTTATGTTGGTTTTACATCATGTGAATATGAAATTCAATGGTAACGTATTTTTTGAAAAGATGAATTAATCTATAGCATGTGCTTTGTATGACTAATAATGTTTCATGATATGTATTTTGCTAAAGTGATAAAAATGATCTAGAGATTTGGTAGATTATATGATTAATGTGAAAGGTGGCAGAGAAGATTTAGGATATAGGCATAATGTTTTGTGCAATTTTATATTTAGATTACTAGAATGCAGGGTAATTTCGAAAATTAAAAATGTTTCACTAACTCCAACAGAAAATCTACCAGCCCCAGGTACATGTATCAGACTAATGGAATAGCTAGGACACCCATGTGTAAAGTGTATATCTTGTGTCAGCTAGGGACATAACTCATAAAAGCACTCAAATTGTTTTTCCATATATAGGTTTTTGTTAAGATCAGATTCTTCCAGTGTTGATTTTTGTCCAGGATTGCTATCATCGGGATCATCACTTCTGTTTGTGGTATATAACAGTGGATACAAATTTTGACAAGTCAGCTAAAATGTTTCGAATAGTTGTGATTGTGTGCTAAATTTACAGTTCAATGTTAGCACTGTTTGTTAGACCCTTAACACGAGTATTGTCTGTACAAATTAAAATAATGTGTAGAAGTATTAATATTAGTGCATCTGAAAGAACCTCTCCTACCCCCATGTACTACCACAGTACATGTATATGTAGTTATAATTGAGACATAATCAATACCTAACCCATCCCCCTGAAACTCTTTGTGCCTGAATAGTTCACACATTAGATATTACATGTATTGTTTAAATGATATATGATGTAATCCCTCATCCCTTATGTTTTATATATAACATGTGTTGATGAGTGTGGCCTATCCACTTTGTGTATTCAGTGTAATTGTATATATTAAGGAACACCTGTATTTATCATGCTGCAGTAACATTCTAGATCACCCGGTAGCTTTTAATTTGCCCGTACATGTTTAAAGTTACAATCATTATTTAACACTTCCTTGGCTGTTTACCCAGTTTTTTACATAAATCTTTTTTCAGTGATGTCTAATTTGTTTTGTGCTGTCTCAAAGAATTTTTCGTCCTTGTTTTCACGTCATGCGTATATGTCGACATGTTTTTGAATGAACCATTTCTTTTGACACGCATGCTAAATAGCTAAGCAGGAGAGCTGCATCCCAGGTACCCAAACACACCTTGTTTATTTTTAATGTTTTCTTGGATTATGTGTTGTTTGTTAGAAATCTTTCCTTTACATGTGTTTCTACAGATGCTAGTGTTGTAGAATTAATGACTTGATTTATGTAATCTAGATATCTTACTTTACACTTCTTTATGCACATTGTACAATAAAAATAAATGTCGCGTTATATAATCCATAACATTATATTTGATATTTAGTGTTTAAAAATGAATTTCATGGCAGTAAGTATTTTTAAAATTATAATATGTTGGTATATATGTCAGCTATCAAAGATTTGAAGTTGAAAAAGAAATTCTCTTGAAAAATTTAAAAAATAAATAGTAAAATTTCTGGTAATGTTTCTTTCTTGATGGAGCATTGGTGTTGTAATTTCTTAATTCTTGAAAAAATACTTTGACTGCTAAATTCATGAATGCTTAACTCATTTCCAAAATTTTCAGATGTTGTGTATTTCTTCTATCACTTGAGATAAACAGTTTTAGGCTTGTGTATGAAAGTCATATTATCTTTATTACTGGAAATATACTGTAAAATGAGACGTTCGCAAAAAAGACCAGACATTAACATTATAAAAACTTAGTAACAGAATCTTTGCACTGCTATGTTGAAAAGTTTTTAATTTTCCCCGTCAAGCTTCATAAATTTGTAAATCACAAATAAACAAAGTGCTAAATGCCATTCACAGATCTGTAACGCTTTAAGATCATGAAAAGGGGTCAGAGGTCAAACTAATTTTTTTTGACAATTGTATTTGGTTGTTAAACTTGACTGATCAGTATTCGTGACATATATACTCGATGTAAATTAGCTAACTTGATTCTGCAACATCAAGGTCAAGGTCATTGTAAAGGGTCAAAGGTCAAACCATTGTATTGCTTGTCCAGCACCTATAGGTTTAGAATGACTATACATTCTTCCATCATACTTCAACAATATATTTACAGAGAGTCTCCTAGCTTTCTATGATAAGTTACAGAGTCTCCTAGCTTTCTATGATAAGTTACAGAGTCTCCTAGCTTTCTATGATAAGTTAGAGTCTCCTAGCTTTCTATGATAAGTTACAGAGAGTCTCCTAGATTTCTATGATAGGTTACAGAAAGTCTCCTAGCTTTCTATGATAAGTTACTGAGAGTCTCCTAGCTTTCTATGATGAGTAACCCCACAGACAAGGTCATTATAAGGGGCAAGACATAAAAGTCATTGAATGATATTCATAGATGTGTATAATAGAGGTAGATAATGTGCCTTATTCCACTGTTTGGTTTCTGCAACTAAGGGCAAAAACCTAGAAGGCAAATCATTGCAGAGCTAGCCTCAAGCATAATTAACTTTTAAATGGCTGAATTATGAGTGTATAATCTTGTCCTTGACAGCATTAGATAACAACACAAATACCCTGACAGCACTTAACAGTTAAACAAATGATGTTGACAGCATTAGAAAGTTTCTCATTGATATTCACAGTATCGCAGTGTTATACAAATGACCTTGCACCAAGAGACAGGTTTATTATGACCGTGCACCTTCAGGACATTCACATTTACTTTGACACCATTTGACAGTTTCACAATGACCTTAACCCTTTAAAAGGTTTCACAATAACTTTGACAATATTTAACAATTTATCAATAACCTTGAACCATCAGGAAGTGTCATAATGGCCTTGACATTATTTGATAGATTTGCAATGACACCATTATAAAGTTTCACTTGGTCATCAACGTCATTTGACAATTTCACATTGACATTGACAACATAAGTTCCACCATGACCTTGACACCATAAGTTCCACCATGACCTTGACACCATAAGTTCCACCATGACCTTGACAGCACTTCAAGAGGGTTGCGATTATAACCTTCAAAATTACAATACTATGGAGTTCACAATGTTCTTCTAATTGCTAAGGACATCTACTGAGAAGATTTCTTTTCATTTAGGCATTAATGAATAAACTTGATACACATATTCTTTAATCCCTGACATATCATTTTTATACACAAAAACAAATAAAAAAGAAAAAGAAACTCTGAAAACAAATTGTTTACAGCCAACACAATGTATAAAAAAATCTTAGATACATATTAAAAATCTTTTTCGATTTTTCATTTTTGTACTCTGTTTGCTAGATATAAATTTACTACCTCTGTGAACTTCTGACCTTTGTGTCATTTGACCTCTGTATTTTGACCTTTGTGTCAGTGCTCTCTGTCTCTTAGTGTTTGATGTGATTGTCATCTGTCTTTTTTGACTGTTCTGGTTATATTTAGAAAATAAAGTTCTGAAGAACTCCGTTTGTAGACTAGACTCTACATTGTGTTTTGCTTTCGAAAGTATTAAAATGTTATTTCTGTAAATGTGAGTCTTTTGGTAAAAATCTTACATTTCTGTTTAAGGGATAAAGTGCTGAGTTCATATCAGTACTAGTATGAGCCCTGAAAGTTGTTTCTACTTGTGGTGTAATGATTGATCAATTTCCTTCAAACCCATAACGAAACCTACTTGTCATGTGAGCTAATGCTTTTCATATTCAAATAAATCTGAAATTGCATTTTGGCATTTGCTCAATAAATATTTAACATAAACCATATCTTATTTTTACTGCTCATGTCCAGGCATTCCTGAAAATCATCCTGACTCTTTGATTTGAATAAGAAAAAAATCATTTAATTTTACCTGAATCTGATGTAGATTATGTACCGAAGAGCTTAATGCTCACATAGTTGGTGACAAAGACTAAGGAGTTTTCTAGGTTATGCTCAGACTGCTAAGTCTCAATTCACCTAAGCAACAGATCTCAGTATTATCACTGTACTCAGAAGTCAGAGGTTTTAGAGTTGTGCCAAGTCAATATATTCTTTTGTTACACTCCTTGCATCAGTAGCATCTTCGAAATCCAAGGGCTTTGCTCCCGATACACAAATCTTCTCGGCACCATCTTCTTGGCACCCGTAGAATATGCTATAACAAAGTTGAAGTCTCGTAGTGAGCTATTTGATTGGTTTCAGGGATGAAAACCTGACCAATAACAAGGCTAATGACTGTCCTATTGAGATGACCAAGGAATTAAGCTTACACCCAACTACAATGTCTGTTGGTTTTATTGTTGTGCTGCCTTGCAATTCTTTAGATATTTTGTCACATAAACAGCCTTTAAATTTTCTTGAGGTATTCTAAGGGTTAAGAGAAGACTATGGTTATGGGGAGTAGAACCATTGGGTGGATCGAGGCCGTAGATTTCTGTGTTATCTGAGTCAGTGAATTACTCTGTTATAATGCCAACACTTGCTATTACAGTACCAGGATTTCAACAACACCAAGTATGCATGGCTGACAAAGATGGTGTTTGCGGTGTTCATGATTCTGGTGCCCATCCTTCTCCTCAACATGTTGATCGCCATGATGGGCAATACCTACCAGATGGTCATCCAGAAGTCAGAGAAAGAATGGCGTAAACAGGTAGCTATGTGGAAAAGGGATAGTTTAGCTGGATTTGGGTTTTTTCATTCACTTAAGATTTCTTTTCAATGAAGAAATGTAAGATATCTTTATAACTGAACCTAATCAACATAAGGTTAAACCATATAAGGATCCTTGTACCACTGTCAGAAACTGTATTTATACATTGGACACTTTTTCCTCAGCATGACTACAGCTTTTAGAAAATATCTCTGAAAAGAAAACCACACCTGCAGAACTGAAAAAAAATTAACAGTAATGCAATAAATAAAATATAATCTACCTACAACAGTGCTCTGAGTGTAAAATGCAAAAAGGCCAGACCAAGATTTAAATCCTGGACCTCAGATCATTATTATATAATAGTGGCTCAAACTAACATACTTATACCTTGACAATGACAGTACGTTGAACTATATATAATCACAATACACTTATATCCAGAATCAAATTAAGGAGAGATTACTGCATGAGCAAAAACACCTAAAGGAGGTGTAATTCTTCAATATTTTGCTTGCAGTGGGACAGGAATCCTTAACATGATCTTTGATATTTTTATTATCTATGAAAAGATAATAAATCTCAGATCAAAGCTTAACTGATCACATTGAGTCAAAATTGTTCTACAATAATGTTTTCCGTTTCAGTGGGCCAAAATTGTTGTCGTGCTGGAGAGAAGTTTTTCTAAGAAACAGCTGCTCCAGTTCCAGAAAGAATACTCTGCTCGTCTGAGCGGCCGGCCGGTGGCAGAACTGGCCGCATACGATGGTAAGGACGAGGAAGACAGGAGAGCTCTCGTCGTGATCAAGAGTTCCAACAAGACCATCGCCAGACGCAGGAAAGCTGCGGTGATTGCTTGGAAGGTATGGACTTTATTTGGTATTATGTGTCAGCTTTAGTTTTCTTTGTTCCAAATTTGTGCTTTTAGTGAATATTTCAACTGGTGTAGATGCTGAAACGTTCCTGTGGAACTGAGCGTATTGAGATCTACATTGTACTGCACTAAAGTGCTTTTTGGTCTCAAGCCAAAATTATTGTCTGGGACTAACCCTACAAATCCCTACAAAAATCCCTGGTGTCAAAGTTTTGACAATACAGTTAAAATTTCAGACTAAATTTTTCTTAAGTTAGATTTTCCTGATCATTTAGAGTGGGTTTTTTTGCAATTGGAAATATTTGTTTTAATTATTTTGAGAGATCAGACTGAATAAAACTGTCAATGTGATCAATTGTGAATAACAGCAAAGCAAGTTCACTTGGTATTTTATTTTATACATTTGAGAAATCAATGTTAATTCAGAACCACACCTTACCTTACTGTGACCTTTGAGCGAGTAAGCAAGTGCAATTTATACTTAGCATAAAAACAATGGATTCTACCGTTAATGAATTATGTTGTTACAGAAAGCGGGAAAAGAGGTGATGAATCAGATGAAAAGACACAAGAAACTCGGCATCACTGGCCCACTCCATCTCACGGAGGTTCAACGCAAACACCGCATCTCCCGGCGCGGATCACATGAATCCGTGGAAGAAAATGACGATGACAAGGGACACATGTTCTCCAACATGCTACAGCAGCTGGCATGGGAGCAGGACATTGACCTAACGAAGGGTCAGGCTCTGATTACTGACCCGGATCTTATTGACAAAGTTACCCCCTCCTCTCCCGAGCCTATAACACACTTCCCACAAAATCACACCCCGATAGCAAACGGACGAGCTCGAAATCATACTAAATATGTGAAAACTCCTGCTGGAACTCCAAAACAAAGTCCAAAATCCTCCAACAGGAAGTTTGCTTACAACCGTGTGTCGCCATTGTCTATCGCACAAGCAATGGCGCCACCTACAGACGATTCAGAAAGTGATATGGAAGTGGCAAAATTACTTGCTACAAAAAAGAGAGATCACTCTAAAGAGTTGTCAAAACAGTTTAGTCAAATGAGTATAACAGAAATATCTGTTCATGACAAAAATGAATATGTACAATTTAGAGGCTCAAAGCCCCCAACTAGACCACATAAGTTATCCTGGGATGTGCCAAAATTTGAGAGAAACCTTAAAACTGACGATGAAAGTGCAAGTCAAGATGGTTCTGTGGGGACAAAAAGCACAGGATCAGCATCGTCAACAACAAAAATTAAAGTGAAAGATAGTACATCATCAGGGTCAAAGGTCAAACGCAGCAGATCAGAGTCATCAAAAACACCCAGGGATCGAATTCGGGAGATGGAACAACATTCACAGAAAAAATCTAAAAAAGACAAACCTGTAGAAAAAACTGTTTCACGGACATCTTCAACTGCTTCTCTGCTAGACATATCCGACTGTAAGGAGAGTGAACTATGATGAGTGAGCTTTAATACGTAAAGAGAGTAATCTACATGTATAATATACTGTAAGGAGAGTGAACTATGATGAGTGAGCTTTAATATGCTGTGTAAAAAGTGTATAATATACTGTAAGGAGAGTGAACTATGATGAGTGAGCTTTAATATGCTATGTAAAAAGTGTATAATATACTGTAAGGAGAATGAAATCTAGGGAGAGAAGAATGAGCTCTTAGTGTACTGTTAAGTGAGTGAAATCTATTTTACCATAACATGAAGAGTGAGCTTTAGTTTACTATGAGGTCAGTGAGCAACTCTGGTGTACTGTAAGGGAACTGGAGTGAACAGTAAGGGGACTGATGCACTGTAAGGAGAATGAGTTTGAGTGTATTAGCTGATGATAAAATCATTGGGTTTTTTTCTTTTGAAGAAGGACAGTCTTTATACAAGGGTTTACTGGTAAAATAAAATCTGAGAAATGTTGGAAAGGTCAGAATGAAAATTTAAAAAGTGATAATAAGATATTTCTTTTGTGGTCATTCCTAATGAAAGCAGGTGTAAGTAATACAGATGTGATACAACACCACTGTTTGTTTCTACACTTCATTATAATTTAGATGGTTTATTGTCCCGATCATGGCAAGCCAAAGATTTTGTTTATTAAGTACCTGGTAATGACTAATGCTTTGATGAGTATGTAAGCATGTATGTATGTGTGTATGTATGTATGTATGTATGTATGTATGTATGTATGTATGTATGTATGTAAGCATTGTTGTATGTATGTATGTATGTATGTATGTATGTATGTAAGCATGGTTATATGTATGTATGTATGTAGATATGTATGCATGGTTGTATGTATGTATGTATGTAGATATGTATATATGTATGTATGTAAGCATGGTTGTATGTTTGTATGTATGTATGTATGTAAGCATGGTTGTATGTATGTATGTATGTAGATATGTGTATAACTTAACTGCATTTAACTAAGTGGAAATAACAAATCAGGGTTTCAATTCATAAATCTGGAGTTATCTTCACATAAAGCTCTAAGATGATAATATTACTGTAGCTTATATTCATCCTCAGAGTCAAATATTCATCCAAGACAATTCACTGTGTCAAAAGATTTTTTGTTTTTATGTAGACTATATATTAGATAGACTTTTAGAACTTTTGCCTGGGTAATGGTTCTCGGGGTCGGAGGAACTGTGATCATTTATGTTGATAATGAAGATATCCTTGTGAAAATGTTGCATTGTGCTCTTCTTCATTATGAAAATATTAATAATAATAATGTATATTACTTTGTTGCGTTACTATTTGAATATGTTTAAGGCCCAAAGATGACACAGATGAATATTATTTTGTATATGATTTGCACACTTAACCCTTCAATTACATTCAATGAATCAATATATTATAATTTATATAGTATACAATGTAGCTTTAAGGTAAAATTATATCAGAGTATTCAATTTAGTCTCTTTAACTCATTCACCCCTGAAGTTTCATAATGAACTATTCCAAACTTTGAATTGGAAGAGTTCAAATGTGTCTTCAGGGTTGAATGAGTTAACAATCTGGCTTATATTTCATTTTCATGATACAACTAATTACACAAAACACAGGATTTTTTTAAATGTATTGCCGTTAGAAATTATACGCTGTGTGAAATATGATGGATATAGTCTCATTAGTCTAACAAACCTTCTGTCTCGTGGTAAAGGTCACTGGCATAGTTGTCCTTTATATTTCATGCTTTTCTACATTTTTTTCTGAAATCTCTAAATTAAGTTTTTTACTATATATTCTGGTAAGATAAAGAACAAAAGTGTGCAACAAAAATGATTTCCTTTTAATAATTTGTCACATCATGAAAACCACTAAATGGAGAGAAAATTTAAAAGAATTATTTTCCCAAGGTGCACATATTTGTTTCAGTAGCATTAAAATTGTCCTCATTGACAAACCGCACCTTTTGTACATACCCACCTGTAGTTTCTGTTTTGTTTTTATATCCCATTTATTTGTTGTTATGTTTGTTTTACAAGTTCTGTTATGTGTTAATATTTTTAAATCTTACTTAAAAACTTAATAAAAATTACATTATTCAGTTATGCCAAATATCAAATTAATATATCACATTTTATAATAACCAATAAATTGATAGCAATGCTTTGTCTTATATGAAATCTGTATCCCACGTATCAGCACATGTATTAGAAACCTGTATTTGAAATTTTGTGATTTTAGGATTACAATACCTCAATACAGATACAACAAATACATTTTATGCAAAAATATAAGTAACTTTTGTAAGTTTTAGTAAAATGAATTGCTAAAATTGGTGTTTCCTGAATTTGTCTATATTTTCATATTTACTATTTGGCCAGTCTACAAAAAAGATAGTTTTATTATTTTACAAAAAAAATCTTACTACTGTTTTAGAAACTTGTAGTATGTGCCAAAATATTTCTCACGTCCCCCAGAAAATGTGAAAGCAATCTAAGGGATAATTATGTGTAATATATATAATGTAGGGCTACATTGTACAGTGTAGAAGGTGTAATTTGATGATAGATATTATATTACTAAACACTAAGATGACAGGTTGACTTCTGCTGTAATTAAATTGTTTTATGTGCTCCTTACCTTGAATGTTCCAGTCTGCCTAGCTGCATAGATGGGTAAAGAAAGACTGCACAGTGTCCATTTAAGAAAGATTTAGGGAAGACTAGTTATTTCAGTTTCTTAAATTGCAACTTATAACAAAACAAGCTCTGGCCGCAAAAATCATTAAGTTTCTTAAAACTTCACATAACTATATTGAAAAATTAAGAAGAAAAAAAACAGACCCTTTAACCCTTCCACTGCTATGTAACTTTAGTAGACTCTACCATGCATTGATATGGACGAGTCCATTATGGTCTATAGTGGTGAAAGGATTAAAGTTGATGTATGATATGATTAATTTATACTTCGTTCAGATCCAAGAATGATAACCTTTACATCTTTTTTCCGTCCAGTAAGATTGTCCAGTAAGATTATATACGGGATGTTAAACCTTTACCCCTGTTTAATTTCTCTCTTGTGCATGTTATTGTGTATTTTGTCTCTGTATAACGATGCCTCGGGGATATACAGGTAGATGTACCTACACGGTTCCTTCCTCTACACTTGTGCACCACTTTCCTTGTTAATGTTACTGTTGAAAAATTTAACTTAATCTATTTTACAACTGTATTCTGCTAGGACACTTATATAAATCTGTCTTGATGGCCTAAATATAATAAAACATTATATGTTAAGGGGATTGTATAGGATTTAAGAAACTGGCAAAACCCCACATGGTTAAAGGCAGGTGACTCCATACCTTTCCACATCCAATAGGGGAATCAAAACTACAGTGTTTTGAAACAAGGGCGTGCTTACCACTGCATTAACTAACAAACCACCCCATAAGTTTTAAAAAGATAACTGATACCTTATAGCCATTTGGTCCTTCCAACATAGTGTCGGATACCTGTCTAAATTACCAAAGGTCAAATTATCTAGTGTCAAAGTTTGTATTATTGTCCCAGTCTCAACTTCCTCATAACTGCAGTTAATGAAAGTGGATACTGCTTCTCTATCACTACCAGATCTAGACAGTGTGCATGTGGAGTCAAATGTCAAACATCTGCATTTCCATATCCAAGCCTTATATGTATATACATGTACGTATACCTGGTAATATGGACAAAGAAGTAATAACGAAAGTGCAGACAAGGAAACTTGTCAAGTTTTCAGGGCGATCCACCCCTTTATCAAGACAGGAACATGAATATTTATATGTAAACATCCTCCTGCTACAGATACAGTTGTGTTTGGTGTGATTAAAGGACTGTTTAACCCCTATCACTGTGGGGGTATCCATGTGCTTACAAAATATTTCTAGTTTTATTAACTAAACTAATTAGCAACTGACCATTACTTGCTGTTGCCATGCAGTTGATAAAAGGTTCTAATATTTACAATTTTTGTACAACTACTAAGTTTTTGCATTACATTCCAAAATTTGATACTGGTTAGGTTCTTTTCAACACTATTGTCATCAATATTTAAATATCACAATCAGCACTGATGATATACATGTCTGAGCAGACATTTTAGTTAGTCTGATCAACCTTGAATTTTTTCAGAAATAATAATAAAATATATGTTTTACCTGTACTAGGGGTGATCTGTCCAAGGTTAAGGTAATATAGCTTTATTTGGCAAAAGTCTGTAGAATACCAACACAGCTCGTTTCCAAATTACCCCTTTCACCACTGTACATGTAGACCATATATAATGGACTCATCCATAGCAATGCATGGTGGATTTACCTAAGTTACATACAATGTAGGGGTGAAAGGGTTAAGATTAAATTAGATTACTGTAAAGAAGGTAGTTTCTTTACACCATTTTATGGTTCTAATTTTTCCAGCCATTTTACTTTTAATGGGATCAATTATGTGACTGAATTAGCCAAGCTCCATTGTACATGTACTAAAATCTCATACATTAAACATTACTGTACATCAGGACTAAACTCTCATATATCAGCACCATGTTTTAATCTTCCTGTAATGAATATCTTCCGATGTATTCACGGCTATATCTACCGAAAAAAAATGATTCTTCGAATAAATGTATTATGAATGAATCTCTTTTTGATATACCTAATTTGATAGTCGTAATAGAAGCATATAGGTAGGACACCTTCAATGAGTTGATCTATTTCTAAATCGTCCCTATGGAAGAGTTCCATTCAACAGTGTTATTTTTAAAACACAATTGCTAATCTTGCATTTTGGATGAAATCATTTTTATATTTATATATCTCGATCAACAGTAGGATGCCTGAGCTATTCTTGTAAGTTTGATTATCTATTAGCTAACAGAACCGTGATAGATGTTATCCTCCAGTGTATATAAGTTATCTTAGTATAATAGAAAGAATTTTGAAACAGCTATAGGGAATATGTTTCATTTAAAAATATATTCAAAGTATCGACAGATTTTTATATTTTCAGACTAATTTTCAGGTTGAATCAATTGTAAAAGTGACAATTCCTTTCTAACACACAGCTGACTTATACTGACTTGCAATTTAGAAATAAATTGCATAATCTGACACAATTTAATTTAGTTTGTGCACCGACAATTATGAACACATGAAACTATGAACACATTTTCTGAAGAAGTTTTTTAAAAAACACACCTATTAGTTTAATATATTCATTCAATAGCTTTGAAAATTTATGAGCAATTTATAAGCATACAGATGTTTATCTGAAGGATTATTTTTAAGCTGTTTTAAGTACATATGTCCTCAAATTAACACTGCCAGGATGGTTTAAACTACAATACGTAGAGGGTACTTTACCTTGGCCTCAGTAGTGGGGCTTTGTTGACGATGTTAAATGTTGACATTGTTGTATATATTGTTGACGAAGTTATATGTTGACAAAGTTGTGTTGGTTATCTTTGTAGAAGTGTGGATAGGTATGGTTACTGTCGTTGGGCTTCCCAAGTTAATATTTTATGTACATATAGTTGTATATCGTGAAGAATATGAACATTGTTTTATTGTCAGAAATAGTTTATCTCGCCGCGGAATTGTTGATGTGCGATTTCATTATGTCCCATTTTAAAGCTGATATTTCAAAAGTTAAGAACCATCATTATATTTTGCAAAGTATTTTTTAC